CAGCAGCAGCAGCAGCAGCAGCAGCAGCAGCAGCAGCAGCAGCAGCAGCAGCAGCAGCAGCAGCAGCCTCACTGCAACTTGAGGAAGCAGGAGAAAAGAGCCCCAAGGGACTGCAGCAGCGACGATGCTGCAGCGGAGCCCAGCAGCAAATAGACGCAGTGCAGCAAACCGCCGCTGCTGCTGCCAAACTGGTTCTTGTCAAAGACCCCCTGCAGCAGCTCAGACTCCCTACAGCAGCAGCAGCAGCAGCAGCAGCAGCAGCAGCAGCAGCAGCAGCAGACATATCTGCTGCTCTTTCCCCGTGTCGCACGCTGCTGCGGCTGCGCAGCAAACCCTGCATTTCCTTTTTCATTTATTTATTTATTTATTATTTATTTATTTATTTATTCATTTATTTATTATTTATTTATTTATTTATTTATTTATTTATTTATTATTTATTTATTTATTTATTTATTTACTTTATTACAACTGTGCTTTCCTCTGTGTCTCCGTCTTCTACACCCCCCCAGGCGTCTCCGGGCGTTTTGGCTTTTGACTCCAAATTAATTCCTTTATAGCCTTCCAAAGCTTCTTTTACTCTTTTGCTGCTGCTGCTGCTGCTGCTGCTGCTGCTGCTGCTGCTGCTGCGGGGGGGAGCAGCAGCAGCAGCAGCAGCCACGTGGCGCAGGCGGGTGCGGGCAAAGCCGTCCACCAGGGTCTTCAGGATTGTCGTGATCACCTGTGGGTAAAACCACAAATTAGGGTTTAGGGTTTAGGGTTTGGCCTGTACATATTGAGGAATCAAAATTAAAATTAAAATTAATAAATAATTAAAAGGACACAATTAAAAGAACAAAGTGCATTAAAGACTGGTTAATTAAAGGTAAACTGACTAAAAAAAAAAGAAATCAAAATGAATTAAAACAAATTAAAATAAACTAATAAACATTAAAAAAAAGTAAAAATAAATTAAAACAAATAAAAGAGAAGGAAGCAAACAAATATACACAAAGCAAATAAAAACAAATCAATTAAAAAGAAATTAAAAAATAAAATGACGTCAGGTAAGTAAATAAAATAATAAAATTAAAAAAAGAAAAGAAAACAAAGAAAAGTAAATGGACCAAATAAAAATAAAATAAATAAATAAATAAAACAAACATAAATAAATCAAACAAATGTGAACAAATCAAATTAATAAAATCAAATAAAAGATTAAATAAATACCAACAAATAAAATAAACAAAAATAAATATAAATAAATACAATAAATGCTAAATGGCAAAAAGCAATGCCAGCTGGCATTTGCAAACAGAGAAAAGTGGATTCTTACAATTAATTAATTCTTCATTTATTTATTCATTTATTTACTCATCTATTTATTTATTTATTTATTTATTCATCTATTTATTTATTTATTTATTTATTTATTTATTTATTATTTATTTATTTATTTATTTATTATTTTATTTATTTATTTATTTATTTATTTATTTATTTAAATAAATCCAAACCTGTTTGCCAGTCCAGAGCCTCCGGGGCCAGAGGACTGCGGGAGTGAGGAGCGCGAGGCCTTCCGAGGGTCCTTTGGAGCCGTTTTTGGGACTTTTGGGGATCAAATTTGAAATCTTTTTCGATTTTGAATTCAAATTTGAATTTAAATTGCAATTTAAGTCCAAATCGACGCAAAAAGCGTCTTCGAGCTCTTTCGAGCGGTCCAGGGTGATGCGCGCGCAGGTGTCGTGACACCCCAAGTACCGCTCCAACCCCGCGTACACCTGAAGTTCCGAATTCCAAATTCATTTCTTTTCTTTTTCCTTTTTATTATTCTTTTTTATTATTCTTTTTTATTATTCATTTATTATTTTATTTATTATTCTGCGAAGTTTCAAACTGGCAGCTTTTTTCCGCGAGACAAACGGCCCCGCGGCTGCTGCTGCCAGGCCAGAGCAGCAGCAGCAGCAGCAACAGTTGGAAATAAATTAAATGAAATCCAACTTATTTATTCCTTTATGAATAAACATCAAGTCCACAATTTAGGGTTTAGGGTTTAGGGTTTAGGGCTTAGGGTTTGCTGTCTGACGAAGCTGCAGCATGCTGCGAATCGGCGAAGCCCGCGCGGCTGCGGCTCCGAGGGTCTAGGGTTTAGGGTTTAGGGTTTAGGGTTTAGGGTTTGGGGCTCACGAGGGTGCTGAACTGCTGCAAGTCGAAGAAACTGTCGCGGCTTGTCAGCAAAACCCCCGCAAGACAATAGTCTTGAATTAAACCTCTCACGAGATCTCCGTTTTTGGGAACTGTGAATTGGCGGTCAGCATTTAGTATCAGCCGGCCCTCAGAACGAGACACAGGGTCCTGCAGCAGCAGCAGCAGCAGCAGCAGCAGCAGCAGCAGCGGCAGCAGCAGCGGCAGCAGCAGAAATGGGGTGCTGAGAGCTGACGCGCACAGAGACCTGCTGCTGCTGCTGCTGCTCTATCTGCTGTTGGTGCTGCTGCTCTATCTGTTGCTGTTGCAAGTGCTCTACCTGCTGCTGCTCCACTACCTGCTGCTGCTGCTGCTGCTGCTGCTGCTGCTGCTGCTGCTGCTGCTGACCTGTGGGACGTGTAGGTTCATTTCATCTCCGTCGAAGTCTGCATTGTAGCTGCTGCAGTTGACGAAGTTGATTCTGAAGACTCTCTCCGGGGCCTGATCGCTTTTTGCTGCTGCAGCAGCAGCAGCAGGCTCCTGCTGCTGCTGCTGCTGCTGCTGCTGCTGCTGCTGCTGCTGCTGCTGGCGCTTGTGCAGCAGCGCGCGGGTGACCTGTCTGTAGCTGCCGTCCTTCCTCTTTAGTCCTGCTTTTTCCAAAAAAGAATTAAAATTAAACTCCAAACTTGAAGGTTTATTTACTTTCACAAAATGCCCCATTAGTGACAAACGATGCAAAGAAGGCTGCCGGTTCATCAGCACCAAGTCCCCGTCCTTCAGGTGTCTGTACACCCGAAAACTCCGCCCCTCAGCAGCGCCAGCAGCAGCAGCAGACAGCAGCTTTGCTGCTTTCCCCGCCCGCGCTGCAGCAGACATGAACTCCAAGTTGAAGCTGCAGCAGCAGCAGCAGCAGCAGCAGCAGCAGCAGCAGACTATGCCGCAGCAAATAGGCCCCTGGCAGTCCGCGGACGCGCCCACGTCCTAAACCCTAAACCCTAAACCCTAAACCCTCACAAGTTTCCTTGGTCGTCTTCCAGGGCGAGGGCCCCCGGGTGTTTGAACTATCAATCCCGAACCCCAACCCCCCAAACCCTAAACCCCAAACCCCAAACCCTAAACCCTAAACCCTAAACCCTAAACCCTAAACCCTAAACCCTCACAAGTTTCCTTGATCGTCTTCCAGGGCGAGGGCCCCCGGGTGTTTGAAAGGCCCATTAATGACCATTTGGCTCAAAGCAAAAGCATTAAAAGAAGTGGCGGCTTCGGGCACTGAGAGTTTCATTGCGAAGTCCAGAGGCACCGACACCTGCACACGCAAACCCTAAACCCTAAACCCTAAACCCTAAACCCTAAACCCTAGGGGCTTCTTTGGAGCTAGCAGGCCGCCAGGCGGGCTGCATCTCCCCCGCTGCCCAACCCCTAAACCCCAACCCCTAAACCCCAAACCCTAAACCCCAACCCCAAGCCCCAAACCCTAAACCCTAAACCCTAAACCCTAAACCCTAGGGACCTCGTTGGGGGCGAGCAGCCCGTCAGGGGCCAGGACAGTGCGGGCTGCGTAGTTGACGCGTTTGCCCTGCATGCGCTGGCGAATGGCTCCTGCCTTTTTTTCCATCCATTGCCGAACTCCGGGAGGAGCAGCAAGTCTGAAAAAGGAGAAAAAGAGCTTCCGAAAGATGCAAAACCGCCTTTTCATCTTTCAAAACGAGTCCGAAAACCCCAAATTAGGGTTTAGGGTTTAGGGTTTAGGGTTTAGCGTTTGCGCCCAGCGAGGCTCCGGCCAGCGCTCCCAGGTCCCGGCCTCCCGAAACCCAAGCGATTTGGGGCTGTCTAGGGTTTAGGGTTTAGGGTTTAGGGTTTAGGGTTTAGGGTTTGGGGCTGGGAGGGCTGGGTGTACGTCCAGCCGGCGCTGCATGCGCCTGCGCGCGGGGTGTACGTACACCTGGGGTGTACGTACACCTGGGGTGTACGTACACCCGGGGCTTGGCTTACGGCTTTTCCGCTTTTGTGTTGTCTGTCATTTCATTTAATTTTAGTTGGAGTTGCAAAGCATAAGAACTGAGCCACTTGGCGCCAGCAACGGCGTGCTGCTCCACGAACTCCTGCAGCAGCTGCTGCTGCTCGGGCGCCAGCTGCAGCAGCTGCTGCTGCTGCTGCTGCTGCTGCTGCTGCTGCTGCTGCTCGGGGGCCCCCGTGAACAGCGCAGCCCACTGCGAAGGGTCCTTGAGGGCCCCCAAAGGGTCCGGATGCCGCAGCACATTCGAAGCAAATTTTATTTTTTCATTTAACTTCAAAATGTCCTGCAGCTGCTGCGTCCGGGGGTGCAGCAGCTGCCCCCTTGCTGCTGCTGCTGCTGCCCCAAACCCTTTTGCTGCTGCTGCTGGCGGCGGCCGAAAACGATTTGCTGCCACGGCCACCACCCGCTGGAAAAACACCGACGGACCCAGACGCACAGCTGCAGCAGCAGCAGCAGCAGCAGCAGCAGCAGCAGCAGCAGCAGCAGCAGCGAGTGAGTCGGCCGGTCCAATAGCACAGCAAACGCCGCACAACACTTATGCACAGAACAAATTAAAGTTGCTGCTGCCAGGCAGCATAAAGCAATACTTATACCAACAGCAGCAACAGCAGCAGCAGAAGCAGCAGCAGCAGAAGCAGCAGCAGCAGCAGCAGCAGCACGACAGCCGCGAACACCAGCACGAGCACGAGGCAAGACAGCAGCAGTGGCTGCAGCAGCAGCATCAAAAGCAGCAGCAGCAGCACGCGCCAGGTCAGTAGCAGCAGCAGCAGCAGCAATACACGCGACAGCAGCAGCAGCAGCAGCAGCAGCAGCAGCAGCAGCAGCAGCAGCAGCAGCAGCAGCAGCAGCAGCAGTCGTACTACGAGTAAACAGAAGCAACACGCAGCGCTTTGGTCACAGGCCAGTAAACCCCCCATAAAAATAAATAAGTAAATAAATAAATAAATAATAAATAAATAAATAAATAAATAAGTAAATAAATAAATAAATAAATAAATAAATAAATAAATAAATAAATAAATAAATAAATAATAAATAAATAAATAAATAAATAAATAAATAAATAAATAAATAAATAAATAAATAAATAATAAATAATAAAAATAAATAATTCATTTTAATTGACTTTATAGTTTACTCACTGTATTTAAGACAACCTGCATCTGGCTGAACTCGGGCCCCAGGAAGCCCCCCAGTACCCTCTTGGGGGCCCCCCTCAGGGGGGCCCCCCTGGGGGCCCCCTGGGGGGCCCCCCGGGGGGCCCCCCGGGGGGCCCCCCTGGGGGCCCCCGTCGAAAAGGGTACCGAAGAAGCTGGAGGAAGTGTAGGGCAAATGAGACTGCCAAGCCCATTTGAGTTCAACTCCAGAGTTCTTGGGGGCCAGTTGTACAGAAACGGCGTTTGTGCTGCACTAAACCCTAAACCCTAAACCCTAAACCCTAAACCCTAAAACCCTAAACCCTAAACCCTAAACCCTAAAGAAGGGCGAAATGTTGCACAGCGAAGTCAACAAACTGTTCACCAACGCGGGGGTGTTTCCCGCGCCCTGCATAAACCCTAAACCCTAAACCCTAAACCCTAAACCCTAAACCCTAAACCCTAAACCCTAAACCCTAAACCCCCCTAAACCCTAAACCCTAAACCCTAAACCCTAAACCCTAAACCCTAAACCCTAAACCCTAAACCCCAAACCTCCCTAAACCCCATAATCCCAATACTGCCTCGGGCGGTTTACGTTCGCGTCCGCGTAGTACCGCGCCACGTTTGGCTGCGCTGTCTTCCAAACTGCCCCTCGTGAAGCGCCACCTGGAGGCCTTCGCAGTCACTATTCTCGCAGTGGTACCCTAAACCCTAAACCCTAAACCCTAAACCCTAAACCCTAAACCCTAAACCCTAAACCCTAAACCCTAGAGGCCGGGGCCTGGAGGCCACGCAGAGAGGGAGGGCTGGCTGGGAGGCGCAGGCACGCCGCTGACACTGTCCAGGGTGGGGGGAGAACTGAATAGGGTTTAGGGTTTAGGGTTTAGGGTTTAGGGTTTAGGGTTTACACTCCGCAGTGGCTGCAGCGGTTCACTGCTGCTGCTTGCTGCAGCACTCTGCTGCGGCAGCTTCTCCAGGCTGCCACTTGGAGGGCGCTGCTGCTGAAGTCCTCAGCAATGTGCTGCAGCATGAATGTTTCTTTGACAGCAGCAGCAACTGCTGTGTCTTCCTCATCTGCTGCTGCTGCTGCTGCTGCTGCAGCAGGCTTGTTCACGTCCTGCTGCTCCTTGTCCTCCTGCTGCTGCTGCTGCTGCTGCATCCGGGCATTCAGCTCGGCCTCAACAGCAGCAAAAATCTCAAGGATTTCTTTGCGGCTCCTGTCTTCGTTTCCAGCAGCTTTGCTGCTGCTGCTGCTGCTGCTGCTGCGGGCCACAACGGTGTCCATTAGCCGCAGCTCCTGCAGCAGCAGCAGCTGCAGCAGCTGAAAGCGCTTCACCTCCAGGCTCTTCTGCTGTCGAGACAGTCGAAGACGCCGGCATTCGAAGCAAACCTAAAAGCAAACAAGTGCAGCAGCAGCAGCAGCAGCAGTAGCAGCAGCAGCAGCAGCAAGCGGTGCTCCTTGCTGCAGCAGCAGCAGCAGCAGCAGCTGTCCCTGCAAGTTGCTGCAGGAGCCTTCAGTCTGCTGCAGCAGCAACAGCAGCGGCACAGCAGCAGCTCTGCCGCAGCAGCAGCAACAGCAGCAGCACCAGCTATTCTGCTGCAGCAGCAGCGTCGGCGCTGCTGCAGCAACAGCGCCAGCAGCAGCAGCAGCAACAGCAGCAGCAGCAACAGCAGCAGCAGCAGCAGCAGCAGCACCCCTTTGAGGAGCTTGACTAGAGATGGCAGCAGGATCGGCTGCAGCGCGGGCAGCTCCAGCTCAATGTGGCCCAAGTGGCCGGGGCAGCTGCCGGAGGCCCCGCAAGTGCCGCAGGTTTCTCTGCCGTCGAAAACGCCCATGCGGCTGTCGTGGAGGCCGCCTGGGACAGCAGCAGCGAGTCCCGCTGCTGCTGCTGCTGCTGCTGCTGCTGCTGCTGCGGCGTCGGCGCCCCATTTCCTGCTGCTGCTGCCCGCCGCGCCGCTCGCAGCCGCGGAAAACGCCGCGGCTGTCACCACGCGGCAGCAAGAAAGCTTTCGGATCTCATCGTCGCTGAGAAACTCCAAACGCGCGGACTTGACGTTGGAGGAAACCACCGAGTTCGGGTCCATCGTGTTCTCGTTCAAGAAAGTGGAATGCGGCGGTTCCAGCGGGGAAAGCTGCTGATCAGCGCGTCATTAGGAATAAAAAAGACAAAATAAACACAAATATTCCAAAGATCGCGCCAAAGACACGCTCGTTCGTGCAGAATCAGCAGATACACTCCGCAAGGCGCCGACCCATTGCAGCTAGTGCCCAAAGCCCAGCAGCAGCTGCTGCAGCGCCATTCCCAGCCCCTCAAACGCAACGCAAAAGCAAAACTCCAAATAAAAAGCAGAAAAAAATAAGTTTCGGGCTACTGGAACTC